GCGCCGGGGACCGGGGCGAGGCGGCCCCCGCCGCCGCCATGGAGGCGCTGGGACCTGGTGAGGAGTGCGCTCGGGCCGGGGCCGGGTCGCGGCCCCGGGACTGGTGGGCGGGCGCGCGGGAGGGCCCGTCGCTCCGCGTGTCCCCCATCGGCCCTTGCTTACCTGGGTTCGTGCCGTCAGGCTTGGGGGAAGGGGATCCGTGCCCCACAGCACAAGGCAGAGGGAGCTGACCCGGGCCTCGGGGGGCGGAGACCGCGCCCCAGCCTGGAGAGACAACCCAGGTCTCGAGGTCTAAGGGAGGCAGGCCCAGGATGGAGACCCGGGTTCCCAGGGGGAGGGGAGACCTAACCCAACCTCAGGGGGGGCGGTCTGCGCTCCAGGGTTGAGGCAGTCCTGTTTGGTCCCAGAAGGAATGATCTGTGCCAGGTGCTCAGCTGAGGCCTGGCCCGGACTGGACCAGGAAGGACCCCCTTGAACTGCCAGGGGTATTCTTAGCATGGGGCCACACCCGTGTTTTTCTTTGCACTGGTAGACAGTCCAGAGCCCTCAGATAAGGAAGAAGAACTTCGCCCAAATACTTCTTATGACCCCCAAAGGCCAAGGGGCAAAGTACCCTCCCTTTCTCGAAGTCCCTGAAGTCTTGGGAAATATGGTCCTATGCCTCTCTTAGTCTGTGCGACAGTCCCAGAGTGATCAGGGCTAGTGCCTTAGTGACAGGTGAGTTACCAGCGAGCCCGTTCTAGCATAAGCTTTAATGCCCTGAGTTCTCTTCTCACTGGGTTATGGGTGGTTGTGGGGATCAAATAAGGGGAAAGTGCTTTGGAAACTGAAATTCCCCATCTTTATGAATGATCTCTGTTTATCTCCCCCAGTTGGCCCAAACCAAAGGAACCATTCCAGGCTATAACAGCTGCCCTGCAGACTGAGAACCTGGTGCTCCCACCTCAAACTGCACCAGGTTTCTAATGCCTCGGCTAAGTAGGGCAGGGTTTAGAGGCTGTGATAGAATTAACTTTAATATCAAACCCTGTCTACATAGTGGACTTCGTTGTAGGGCACTTCATTTTTTTAGTGGATAGAAAATTCACTTTGCCTTTTGAGTTTGGAAACTTTGCAGGTTTGTTTACTTAGAACTTGTTTACATAGCTGAATGATTAAACCCTACCTTAATTGGCTGCTTAAAGTATTTTTTAAAGGCCCACATAATCAAATTTCATATGCCTTTTAAAAATGAATTGGTTTGTGACATTAATATTATTTGATAAACCTCAATGTGAGCATTACTCTGGGTTCCTTCAGCTATGTCCCCCGGCTAAAGGCATGATCATGTCTTTAGGAATGTAACAGACTTCTGTTCAAATCCAATCTAGTAATTTAATAGTTGTATAACCTTGGGCAAATTACTTAATTCCTTTGAACTTTCATTTCCTCATCTATAAAATGAGGGCAATAATAATTATGTGCTGCAAGATTGTTGTGAGAATGAAATGTATGTGAGCAGTCTTACTGTGGAGACTAATGCATTGTAGGTATTCCACAAATGTTTCTTCTTCCCTCCCGGTTAGTAATTCATAATTGAAGCAACTGTTGCATTTTATGAGCTGATGCTGGAAGAGACTATGTAACTGTGTATACAAACTGAATTTCATGGGAAAGATCAACCTGGTAGAGTTAGGAGAGGCCTAGGGACTTTGTTTTTTTGGTTGGTTTTAGCTTTTGCAGATTTGAAGACTTAGTTTGCTCAGGATTGTGGAAAGTTCTCACTAATCACACTTTAAAGACACAAATGAATATATTAAAATGTCACATAGATCTTTCCTGTTGACTGGAATATTTTCTTGTCTGCTGTCTAGCAAACTCCTTTTCTGGTGTCACAGTATCTTGGAAACCCAATTAATAATAAGCTGCTTGCTGAGCATAGAATTGGAGCAAAGGGAGTTGATAGTCTTGTGGGATATTTTATCCAGGCTGTCTTAGGACCAAGAGAGAGGCACTTCAGTTTTGTTCAAACACCCTGGTCTAGTGCTTTCTGCCCTCCTCACTTGAAAATCATTGAAGCATTCTTAATCTTACTATGCTCTCCCCTCACCCCATTTTGGTTTCTGGCAATAATAACTTAGAAATGTATTCAGTTAGATTACCATTTATTTTGGCTATATTAATTATGTTTATTTTTACAGTGCTTTACAGTCTGGAAGGTGCTTTCATAGCTCTTAGCTCATTTGATCCTATGAGAGGTAGGTGAGGCAGGCATTAGCCCCATTTTACAGATGAGTAAAGAGATTCAGAGAGCGTAAGTGACTTCAAGGTCTCAAGGCTGAGAGATGAAATGCAGATGAGTCTGGGTCATCTGACTTCTAGTCTATTGCCCTCTTCTTCATTTAAAAAAAATTTTTTTTTTAATTTTTATTAATTTTTGAGAGAGAGAGAGAGAGAGTGTGTGTGTGTGTGTGTGTGTGTGTGTGTGTGTGTGTGTGACTGGGGGAGGGTTAGAGAGAGAGACACAGAATCCGAAGCGGGCTCCAGGCTCTGAGCTGTCAGCACAGAGCCTGATGCGGGGTTCAAACTCATGAACCACAAGATCATGACCTGAGTTAAGGTCCAACGCTTAACCAACTGAGCCACTCAGGTGCCCTGCCCTCTTCTTCATTTAAGGTTGACTTCCTGCAATCTATGTTGAGTAATGTTTCCTTTTCAGAAATGTAATTTTCTGACTTTCTCACTAAATTTTGGAGATACCCCCATTATAAAGCCCAGGGACCTTTGAGCACTGACTGTAACAGTTATTCAAGTACAATCATAACAGCTAACATTTATCAAGCACTTACTATTATCAGGTACTGTGGTAAGCCTTATGTATACATTATCTAATAGGATCCTCAAAATTGATTTATGAAATAGATTCTATTATTACCACACTTCCCATATTTTATAGATGAGGAAACTGAGGCACACAGTGACTAAGAAACTGGCCCAAAGCCATGCAATTAGGGAGTGGTAAAACCAGGGTTGAAACCTACACAGTTTGGTTTTGCCATAGCCACTATGCTTTACTTTCTTTGTAAGCAATTTGCTAAATTCAAAGAAATCAGCTTTGGGAAAATTTTAGGTTATAGTTTTCTAAATAAATCTCCTAAACTTATTCAAAGAAATGACCACTCACCTCCTCGCTTTTCTCTGCTACCAAAGAAAAGGAACACACTATCTATCTTTCTCCGTTAACCCCACTTCCTTCATTTCCTCTGCCTCTTTCCCTTTTGGTGTCAAGTATTTCAGAGAGATATAGACACCACAGGATTGTGAAGTACATTGGGAAGAAAAAGCACTGGGCTGGGAGTTAGGAAACCTAAATTCTAGTCACAATTTAAAATCAAAGCTGTATGTGCTTGGGCAAGTCATTTGCTCCAAAATTCTGTTTCTCAATTTCTATCCTAAAGCTGGATTTATGATACAGTGATTGCTTAAATATACCTTGGAATATGCAGGGCTGACTTGTCTATGATTTAATTGGGTGAATTCAGTATGACTATCACCATTGATATTATTTATTATTTATCTCTTACCTTGTTTTTAAATGTCTTACCACACCTAGAGTATATCCCTTCTATGCCAGAAGTGGAACTCAACTCCAAGCAATAATATTTTTAGTATAAATTATGCACTTTTGCTTTAATGAAAAACAATAGTCAATTCCTGGGTTTTAGGAATGACTGGGTTTCTGTTTGGTTTCTATCTAGAGCTAGAGATGATTGGTACAGACATACCTTGGAGATATTAGGGGTTCAGTTGCAGACCACCACAATAAAGTGAATATCACAATAAAGCAAGTCAAGTGAATTTTTTGGTTTCCCAGTGCATATGAAAGTCATGTTTACACTATACTGTAGTCTAAGTGTGCAATAGCATTATGTCTAAAAAAAGTACATGCTTTAATTAAAGAATACTTTATTGTGGTGCGCCTGGGTGGCTTAGTTGGTTAAACATCCGACTTCGGCACAGTCTGTGAGTTGGAGCCCCACGGCAGGCTCTGTGCTGACAGCTCAGAGCCTGGAGCGTACTTCTGATTCTGTGTCTCCCACTCTCTCTGCCCCTCCCCCACTCATGCTCCTGTCTCTCTCACTCTCAAAAAATGAATAAATGTTAAAAAAAAAATTTAAAGACTACTTTATTGCTAAGAAGTGCTAGCCATCATCTGAGCTTTCAGTGAGTCATTATCTTTTTGCTGGTGTGGGGTCTTGCCTTGACGTTGATGGCTGCTGAAAGATCAGGGGGATGTTGCTGAAGTTTGGGGTGGCTATGGCAACTTCTTAAAATAAGACAATGATGAAGTTTGCCATATCAATTGACTCTTCACAAATCGTTTCTCTGTAGCATGCAGTGATGTTTGATAGCATTTTACTTATAATAGAACTTCTTTCAAAATTGGAGTCAGTCTCTCAAACCCTGCCACTGCTTTATCAACTAAATTTTTTTAATGTGTGATAGCTCTATATACTTTTATTTTTAATAATTTATTTTTTAATTTACATCCAAGTTAGTTAGCATATAGTGCAACAATGATTTCAGAAGTAGATTCCTTAATGCCCCTTACCCATTTAGCTCATTCCTCCTCCCACAACCCCTCAACTAAATTTATATATTCTAAATCCTTTCTCGTAATTTCAGCAATCTTCACAGCATCTTCACCAGGAGTAGATTCCATCTCAAGAAATCACTTTCTTTGTTCATCTATTTTTTAAAAGTGTTTATTTATTATTTGAGAGAGAGAGAGAAGAGCAGGGGGATGGGGGGCAGAGAGGGAGAGAGACAGAATCCTAAGAAGGCCTTGCACTGTCAGCACAGAGCTGACATGGGGCTCAAACTCAAACTGCAAGATCATGACCTGAGCCAAAATCAAGAGTTGGATGCTTAACTGACCAAGCCACCTAAGCACCCCTCTTTGTTCATCTATAGAAGCAACTCCTTTCTCATCCATTCAAGTTTTATCATGATATTATAGCAGTTCAGCCACATCTCCACGTCTCATTCTAGTTCTCTTGCTGTTTCTACTACATCTGCAGCTACTTCCTTCACTGGAGTCTTAACCTGCTCAGAGTCATCCATGAGGGTTAGAATCAACTTCTTTCAAACTCCTGTTAGTGTTGATTTTTTTGACCACTTCCCATGAATCATGGATGTTTTTCATGACATTGAGAATGGTGAATCCTTTCCAAAGAGTTTTCAATTTATTTTGCCCAGATCTATCAGAGGAATCACAATGACAACTATAGCTTTACAAAATGTTTCTCAAATAGTTAAGTCTTGAAAGTCAAAATGACTCCTTGATTTATGGGTTGCAGAATGGATGTTGTGTTAGGAGGCATGAAAGCAACACTAATCCTGTTGTATACGGCTGTCAGAGCTCTTAGGTGACCAGGTGCATTGTCAATGAGCAGTAATCTTTTGGAAGGAATCTTTTTGTCTGAGTAGTAAATCTCAACAGTGGGCTTAAAATATTCAGTAAACCATGTTGTAAACAGATGTGTCATCATCCAGGCTTTGTTTCACTTATAGAGCAGAGGCAGAGTGGATTTAGTGTAATTCTTAAGGACCCTAGGTTTTTCAGATTGATATATAAACATTGGCTTCAACTTAAAGTCACCAACTGCATTAGCCATTAACAAGAATCCGTCTGTCCTTTTGAAGTTTTGAAGCCAGGCATTGACTTATTCTCTCTAGCTGTGAAAGTCCTGGATGGCATCTTCTTCCAGTATAAGGCTGTTTCATCTACATAGAAAATCTGTAGCCACCTTCATTCATTATCTTAACTAGATCTTCTGGATAATTTGCTGCAGCTTCTACATCACCACTTGTTGCTTCACCTTGCATATTTATGTTATGGAGATGGCTTCTTTCCTTAAACCTCATGAACCAACCTCTCTCTTCTAGCTTCAAATTTCACTTCTGCAACTTCCTCCCCTCTCTCGGCCTTCACAGAATTGAAGAGAGTTAGGGCCTTGCTCAGGAGTAGGCTTTGGCTTAAGGGAATTTTGTGTCTGTTTTGATGGATTGGTTTGCTTGTTTATTTATTTATTTAGAGAGTGAGTGAGCACAAGTTGGGAGGGTCAGAGAGAGAGAGAGAGAGAGAGAATCCCAAGCAGGCTCCACACTGTTAGCACGGATCCCCACATGGCACTCGATCTCATGAACTGTGAGATCATGACCTGAGTTGAAGTTGGACGCCTAACGGACTGAGCCACCCAGGCACCCTCATTTTGATCTTCTATCCAGACCACTAAGAGTTTCTTCATATAAGCAATAAGGTTGTTTTGCTTTCTTAACACTCGCATGTTCACTGGAGCAGCACTTTTAATTTCCTTCAAAAACTTTTCCATTGCATTCACAACTTGGCTGAGTCTTTGGCACAAGAGGCCTACTTTTGGCCTGTCTTGGCTTTCCACATGCCTTCCTCACTAACCTTAATCATTTCTAGCTTTTGATTGAAAGTGAGAGACATGGGACTCTTCCTTTCACTTGAACACTTAGAGGCCATCATAGGGTTATTAACTGGCCTACTTTCAGTATGGTCGTGTTTCAGGGAATAGGGAGGCTCAAAGAGAGGAAGAGAGAAGGGAATGGCCAGTGAGTGGAGCAGTCAGAACACACAACATCTTGGTATTAACTTTGCTATCTCATATGGGTGCAGTTCATGGCATCTCAAGACCATTACAACAGCAACTCAGCAATCACTGATCACAGATCACCATAACAAATATAATAATAATGTAAAAGTTTCAAATGTGAGAAAGACCAAAATGTGACACAGAGATGTGAAGTGAACAAGTGCTTCGGCTGGAAAAATAGCACCAATAGCCTTGCTCACTGCAGGGTTCCCACAAACTTTCAATTTGTAAAAGACTCAGTATATGCAAAGCACAATAAAGTGCAACTAAATGAGCTATGCCTGTACTGTTCAACTCAACATTTATTGAATTCCTATGATGCGCTATAGTCATTGAGTTAGATATTGAGGAGGTAACAGTGAACTGAAGGTCCACTTCTTCTAAGAATTTACAGTCCAATGGCCGAGACAGTAATTTAACACATTGTTTCTACATACTTGTGCTATGTACTCCCTTATACAGAGGATCTTGGATACACCAAGGATGCATCTTCCAGTCTGGAAGCCTTCCAGAAAGGCTTTCCAAAGGAAGTCACACCTAACCTGAGTTTTGAAGGAGTAGAATTTAGAAGAAGAATGACCCATGAATTTAATCTGTGAGAAGATTTTCAATACTTTAACAATTAGTATACGGAGATCTGTCAACACATATTTCGTTAAAGGGTTTGCTTTGATTTTCCTAAGTGATGTTGAACCAGAACAGCTTCTTGCTTCAAAGTTTTCTCTCCTTTGAATTGCCTTTGTTCTTGGTGAAATGCCTTGGCAATAAGAACCTGTTGTAACTTTCCATTGTAATCACAGCCCACTGTACTCAACACCTATTTGTAGCAGAAAAGATGTTTATTTTTTAGGCCAGTGTCTACTTGACATTATCCTCAAAAAGAAGTAAGTTTTCTTTAGATAAATATTACCCAGTCTGTGTTTCCTTAAATCCTTATCTCCTGAATAGTGATAGGTATTTGATTTTAAAAACAGAGAAAATTTAGGGGGAAAATAAGTTGGGTAAATGATTAACGTTATTTATTATAAAACTCATTAGAGAATTTAATACAATAATGCACATTGAAACTTTGAGAAGGGAGACAATATGCAATTTCTTTAGCTTATGGAATCTTTTCTTTTTGTGGAATATTTTGTGAACCATCAATGGAATAATTTGGGTTGACTGCCCTGTCTAGACCAGAACTTCTCGCCCTCAGCACTATTGATATTTTAGGTGGATACTTCTTTGTTGTAGGGGCTGTCCTGTGCATTGTAGGATGTTTAGCTGTATCCCTACCCTATGTCAATAGCACCCCCTGAGTTGTGACAACCAAAAATGTCTGCAGGCATTTGTCAAATGTTTCCTGGGGGACAATATCTCTCCCACATTGAGAACCACTGGTCTAGACTGTAAGTTCTTTGAAGGCAGACACTCTTTTTCCTAAATCCACAGTGCAGTTTGACATGTAATAAGCGAATAAACTAGACATTATGATCAAGCAATGTCACATTGTCCAGATAGAATCTGGACATGAGGTTATAAGCTTTAGGTTATAAAGTCTAACATTATTGGTATTGTTTCACTATCTAAATTAGCAAGTAAATTAATAAATGTAGCTGCTGTTAATCTCCTGCCTGTACAAACTATAATAACGGAGGCTAGTTTGTGGAGGATTAATAGATGATCGCCAGCCTGAACATGGTGATGATCCCTAGAGTTTAGGGATGGTTTTATTTTAAAATGCATATAATTTGGGGGCACCTGGCTGGCTCAGTCCATAGAGCATGCAACTCTTGACCTCAGGGTTGTAAATTCAATCCCCACATTGGGTGTAGAGATTACAATGTAGAGCTACATTGGGTGTAGCTACAGACCTGATGCTCATAGGAAGTTTTATACAGTAGCCTACATCTGAGAGGAGACCATCATACAGTCTATATAATTTTGACGTCTCCCATAATCAAAATGATAGCAATATGGCAAAATATTTAAAAATCTAGAAAACCTGAGTTTAAAAGATATCACAAACTCTTTATATCAGAGTATGTTCAGTGAATAATAAGATCTCAATAATTATATCTATTATTATTATTGTCATCACGATTGTGAAGGGAGTATTGTCCTTTATGACCAAATAGCACATCAAATGCCTTTCAATCTCTTCAGGACCTCCATCCAGCCTGTTTCAGCCACCTCGTCGTCCTGGCCTTGGAACTGTTGGGAAACCAATTCGACTGTTAGCCAATCATTTTCAGGTTCAGATTCCTAAAATAGATGTGTATCACTATGATGTGGATATTAAACCAGAAAAACGGCCTCGTAGAGTCAACAGGTAAGGACTAGAAAGAGTAGATTTCTATATATTTAAATGTATATCATTTATTTATCATGTATCATATTGTTTTCTAAATTCTTTCATCATGTAGGCTTTGTTTTTTCTCTAAGATGGTAAGTTTCTTGATAGCAGCTTTGTTGTCTCATACTTGGTTATCCTCTACAGATTCTAGCAGTGCTGGATACATTATTGTCCAACAGTAAATACTTACCAAATGAAGGAGAAAGTCACTCTCATTGTCCAATGGTAGCAGAAATTTAAATAATAAAATAAAAATAGGTGAAGCGTTAGTATGTACAGGAAACTAGAACTATCTGAAAATTCTGGGGCTTCTGGCTGGCACAGTTGGTAGAACATGCGACTCTTGATCTCGGGGCTCGAGATCAAGAGTCAAGACCAAGTTCCATCCTGAAATTGGATATAGAGTTTAATTAAAAATAAAATCTTAAAAAATAACTATCCCAACATTAATTTTATTATTAAGTATTGGTATTGGACATGAGAAAAATTTAAGTGTAAAGACAGAAGAATCATCTTGGAGTATTGAAAAAAGTGAAGTTCAGAGAGAAGTTCTGTTTAATTCTAACATTACCCAAGTGGGGTCTGGATGAGATGATTTAAGCCTTTTTGGTGTGTATGGCAGGAATTTACCAAATGTGAAGACATAGTCCTGTAGTAGATATCTTTACAATGCTAAGAGCACCCAATTTTCTTTTTTCACGCCATCATATTCAACAATCCTTAATATTAAGATCCTTGCTTTCTAAGAATGCCTTTGGTGTCAAGTGCAATATTTTATGCTGCTGGATATTTTTCTTATTATAGATCAATAATATGGCTTTCTGGTACAGTTTAATCTCATGCAAGCCCGTAATTGTTTGGCTATTATATAACTGAAATCAACTGTAATAGTTACCATTAATGGCTACCATTAATCCATTCAACGAACATTTTATTAAGTGCTTACTATGTACCAGGTATTGTTCTGTGCTCTGGAAATACAACATGAACAAAACAGGCAAAAATTTCTACCCTTGAGGAGCTTATATTCTAATAGGGGAGAAGACCAAAAATAAATGAATTAGCAAACAAAAATTATTACGTGTTAGTTGGTGATAAGTGCTATGAAGAAAAATTAAACAGGGAAAGAAAATAGAGAATGGGGGTGGGGTGAGCAACTGAGATGTTTTTAATAATTTTTTGGAGGTAGTGTCAGCATGATGTGCTGATGGATTAAACATGGGATATGAGTGAAGAAATGAGTCATGACTGATCCCAGGGTTTTTGTCCTGTGCAAGTGGAAAAAATGAAGTTGCCACTTGTTGGAATGGGGAAAACTATGGGTTTTCCCTAACCCAGTCAACAGGGCTGGCAGATCAGGAGACCTGTTTGGGCATGTTAGGGCTGAGATGTCTATTAGACATCCTAGTGGAGATGTTGAGTAGGAACTCGAATAGATGAGGCCGGATTTAGGCTGGTGACAAACATTTGCAGGTCATCAGCATATTGGTGGTAAAGCCATGAGCTGGGTAAGATTATATGGGAAGTGAGCATGGTTAGAGAAAAAAAGACTGTAAGAGAAAAGACTCTAAGCACCCCAATATTTAAAAATTAGGGAGATGAGGAAGCCAGGAGACTGGCATGGAAAGGCCACTGGGATAGGTGAAAACCAGGACAGAACAAGGAGGCAAGGGAAGAAGATGTTTTAAGTTGGAAGACTTTATCATCTAATGTTTAGGAACACTGAATTTAGCATTGTGGAGCTCACTGGGGACCTTGACAAGAGTAGTTTTGGTGGAGGAGAAGTGGAGAAGGTTTAGGAGAGACAGGGAAAGAACAATTAGAGACAACTTCTTTAAGGGATTTTGACACAAAGGGGAACAGAGAAATGGGATGTTCAAATGGGGAGGAAGTCAGGTCAAGGAAGTTTAATTTCTTTGAAGATGAGAGAAATGATAGCATATCTGTATGCTGAAGGAAATAATCCAGTAAAGAGGACAAATCTGATAATTCAGAAGAGAGGAAGATCCTCGGAGTCCTATCCATGAGCACACCAGAGTAAGTAGGCTTATTGTGTGACAAGCACTGTTGTAAATATTCTATGTATATTTATTTACTTAATACAACAAACTTTTGTGGTAGATATTGTGATTATCGTAATTTTACAAATGAAAAGAAACAGGTTTCTTGTAACTTGCCCAAGGTCATGCAGTTCTGCCACTTATTCACTCTGTGACCAGGGGCAGATCACTTGCCTATGCTGATTTTTTTTTCTTTAAAAAAAATTTTTTTAATGTTTATTTATTTTTGAGAGAGACAGAGTGTGATTGGGGGAGGGGCAGAGAGAGAAGGAGACATAGAACCCAAAGCAAGCTCCAGGCTCCGAGCTGTCAGCACAGAGCCTAACACGGGGCTCGAACCCACAAACCGTGAGATCATGACCTGAGCTGAAGTCGGACTCTTTACCGACTGAGCTACCCAGGTGCCCCAAGTATTTTTTTTCTATTTATTATGAAGTAGTATTTTTTTTTTTTCTGTTTACTATGAAGACAATAATCATTGGCCTACTTGTCTCACAAAATTGTTGCATAGATTAAGTGAGAGCAGAGGTGAAAATATCTCTTCACTATAAAACTATTTATGGTTATAATTTAAGAATGTAAGATGAGGGGGGCACCTGGGTGGCTCAGTCAGTTGAGCGTCCGACTTTGGCTCAGGTTATGATCTCGCGGTCTGTGAATTTGAGCCCCACGTTAGGCTCTGTGCTGACAGCTCAGAGCCTGGAGCCTGCTTCAGATTT